CATCTTATATAATATATGCTATGATATATTTAACATCTTATATAATATATGCTATGATATATTTAGCACCTTATATAATATATGCTATGATATATTTAAAATCTTATATAATATATGCTATGATATATTTAACATCTTATATAATATATGCTATTATCTACTTTGGAGTCCTGGTGTGGAGTTGTGGGTTAATGTGTCAGGTTAATGCAAAGCCATTTGAAGTGCAAGGTTGGCGGTTCAAGCTCACCAGCTGCTTCTTGGAAACCCTATACAGGGTTGCTATGGGTTGGAATCGACTTAATGGCACTTAACAATACAACAACATTGTATACTTTAACATAGTATACAATATATGCTATTATATACTTTAACATATATACGTAGGAGTCGTGGTGTGGCACTTGGGATAATGCAAGGTCAGTTTGAACTGCAAAGTCGGCTTGGAAACCCTATTCAGGGTTGCTATGAGTTGGAACCAACTCGCAGGCATTTAACAACAAACAACATGATACACATATGTATGCATACATGTACATGGGAATCCTGGGCTGGGACTGTAGCATAAGTCATTTGCATCTCAAAGTCGGCGGTTCAAACTCACCAGCCGCTTCTCGTAAACCCTCTATAGAGTAGCTATGAGTCAGAACCGACTCGATGACACTTGATCATAACAAAAACACTATGTGTATGGGAGCACAGTGGCTCTGTGCCATCAGGACTGAGCTGTGAACCACAAGGTCTGTCATTTGAGGTCGCCAGCCACTCTACAGGACAAAGATGAGGCTTCCTGCTCCTTTGAAGACTTAAAGCCTCAGAAACTCTATACAGGGTCTCTATAACTTGGAACAGACTCGACGGCACTTAACAACAAGTGTGTATAGACATATACATAGATTTGTTGTTGTTAAGTGCTGTTGAGTTGGTTCCAGCTCACAGTGACCCCATGCACAGTGTCCGAGACTGTTTATCTTGTGGGAGCAGAAAGCCTCATCTTTCTCCCACAGAGTGGCTGGTGGGCTCGAACTGCTAACCTTGTGGTTGGAAGTCCAGTGTTGATCGTGTGGAGTCACTGTACTCCCCATATGTACACATGTTGTTGTTGCGATCGAGTCAGTTGTGACTCATAGTGATGCTGTGGAGGGTTTCTACGGCTTTAAATCTTCACGGGAACAGAAAGCCTCATCTTTCTCTCATGGAACGGCTGGTGGGTTCAAACCACAGACCTTGTAGTTCATGTTGTTGTTGTTAGGTGCTGTTGAGCCAGTACCGACTCATAGGATCCTATGCACAACAGAAGGACACACTGCCCAGTCCTGGGCCATCCTCACCATCTTTGCTACCCCTGAACCCATTGTTGCAGCTATTTTGCCAATCCACCTCATGGGGCTCTTCCTTGGTTTCTCTGACCACTTCATTAAACATCATGTCCTTCTCCAGTGACTGGTCCCCCTCCTGACAATATGTCGGAAGCATGAGAGACGAAGGTTGGCCATCTTAGCCTCCAAGGAGCACTCTGGCTGCACTTCGTCCAAAACAAATTGGTTTGTTCTTTTGGCAGCCCATGGCACTTTCAACATTCTCCTCCAACACCATAACTATGTGGTTCACAGTCCAGTGCTTATTGTAGGGAGTCACTGTGCTCCCCACATTCCTAGATTCATATTTGTTGTTGTTAAGTGCTGTGGCGTCGTTTCGGACTCCTAGTGTATAGGGTTCCAAGGAGCAGCTAGTGAGTGTGAACCACTGTCGTTATACATAGATACAGTATATATGTCTCCATAAGCACGGATTATACTTCTAATCCATCCATTTTACTGGTTGCATATTGTTAAGTGCCGATGAGTCAGTTCCGACTCATAGAACCCCTGTCCTGGGGTTCTGAGGAGCAGCTGGTGGTTTGAGCTGCTGGATTTTTGGTTAGCAGTCCAGTGTTTATCCTTCAGCACACCAGAATTCCACTGGTTGTATACTGAATGTATTATGCAGTAAGTTTTGTGAAAGTACTTTTGGTTTACCGATTGCACCAGAATACATTTATCCATGATACTGTATGTTTGGACTTTTAGGCCATTTCCAATTCTGTTTTCACTATAAAACAAGAACCCAGCGAGCGCAGCATCAACCAGTTTCACCCAGACTGCTCTAGCTGTAACCATTTTAAGTCAGCACCATCCCAGGGACATAAAGAGCTACAGTTCTTGCAGCAAAAATCATGCAGAGTTGCACATGGTCAAGTCGGTGAGCACACAGCAGCAGAACGTCTTTGTGTAAAATCTTACCTTGAATTTTCTTGAAAACTCTGGAATTCATAAATTTCAGAAACCTGTCTGCATAAAAACTTGGTCTGTGAACCGAGACAGTGTCCTGAAAAGACAAATGGAGTGTCTGGGTTACTCCTAAGAAAGTTCATGGCATGAGAAGAGAAGGCTCCCGGGTACCCAGAGTCCTAAGCCCAGGACTGCAGGGTCCCATGTAAGAAGACAAGGCCCTGGACCTTCAGGAGTCAGGGTTGGGGCATAGGGCAGGCACGGGGTCTGGACAGAGGTTCTAGATAGTCAGGGTGAAGGGAAGTCCCGTGGGGGTGGCAAGGGGAGACACGGCAGAAGGTCTTCCATATAAATCACACAGCAGCCATTTTTCTTCCCTCAAGGGGTACACTTCTAAAACCCACTACTGTCTAGATGATTGTGACGCATAGGACTCTGTCGGACAGACAGGGTGTAAGTGTTCCTTAGGGTTTCCAAGACTGCAAATCTTTATGGGAGCAGACAGACTCATCTTTCTCCTAAGAAGCGACTGGTGGGTTTGAACTGCTGACCTCGCAGTTAACAGTTCAATGCCTAACCCACTGCGCCACGAGGACTCCTAGAGAGAATCCGTTTGCTTACATGATGCTCCATTTTCAGCTCAGGTTTATGGATCCCAACAGGGAAGTTTGCAAAAATTCACATTTCATACCAGCAAGTGTCGGCAATGGGTCTGGAAGGGAAAACATGCTTACTGATCTGCTTTTGGGGTTAATTCTAACTTTGAAAGGCTGGGATTTGCTGGAACAAGCCAGGGTCTCCAGTTTCCACCTGTGAGGTGAGGGTGTTACATGAAGCAGACCTGAGCGAGCCTGTGATTTTATAATTGGTATATTGTACATCATATGCAAGATGCTCTTTGGCCAAGTTGGCACGACTCTATGCTTCCAGAAGAATGAACGAAGCAGTTTTAGAAGAAATGCAGCCAGATTGAATCCTAGAAACAAAGACGGTGAGACTTGGGCTCACTGACTTTGGACATGACTTCAAATGGGAAGACAGGTGGCTAGAACCGGTTATGCTGTGCTTGGTGAAGTGGAGGGTCTGAAAGGACAGGGGTCTGTTGATGTGATGGATGGTCACAATGACCACAAAAATGTGATCAGACATACCAGTGGTCATGAAGACTGTTCTCTTGACGGTAAGACGAGGTGGGTTGATTACTGGGCACCTAACCAAAATGTTAGTGGTTTGAATCCACCAGCCACTCTACTGGAGAAAGATGAGGCTGTCTATGCTTCAGTAAAGAATCCAGCCTTGGAAGCCCTGGGGCAGATCTACGCCGTCCTACTATGTCACAGAAGTCAGAATCGACTGGAGGGCAGCGGCTTTGATTTTGGGCTCTGGGTGGTGCAAACGGCTAACACACTCAGCTGTCACCCCCAAATTTCACAGTTTGAGTCCACCCAGAGGCACCTCAGAAGGCACGCCTGGAGATCTACTTATGAAAACTCATCCACTGAGAACTCTGTGGGGCACAGTTCTACTCTGATACACACAGGGCACCATGTGTGGAATCTACTCAAAAAAAGTCATCCACTGAGAACCCGGTGAGCACAGTTCTACTCTGACACACACGGGGTGTCATGTGTGGAATCAGTTCCATGACAACTGGTTGCACAGGTTTTTTCAGGGTGTACCTTACGCGCCCTCTCTGGTAGTGTGAGTACCTTACGCGCCCTCTCTGGTTGTATGAGTACCTTGTGCGCCCTCTCTGGTCGTGTGAGGTATTGCCTGTGTAGCTGGAAGACAATGTGGGTCTCAAGTCTGAACCTTTTCATACGAGGAAACTTTGTTGGCTCTGTGTGAGATGAAGGTGGATTCTTGGAAACGTATATATGAACCTGTTGTTCACAACTACCGTTTGCAGATTTTTAATGCTGAAAGTTTTCTTGAGTCTTTCCCAGAACTGGGAAAGTTCAAGTTCTTTTCCAAGAAAAAAGATCAGCATTCATAATCCATCCTCTTTCAAGGGAAAAGATCTGTTAACAGCTTATAAAGAAGTACGCAGCCCAATCTTTGATCATTAGGTTTTCTGAAAGGGCCACTTTGAGTTATTAACGAAGGGGGCCTTAGGCCAGTGCATGTTCTATCAGGAACATGAAGTTCACATTCTTGATGGAAATGTGTGTGTGTCATGTGTGTGACAGAGACTGCTCTGTGAGCATCCATTCTTCTCTTCTGCTTGTCCGTCAGTTCTTGGTTCTTACTCCGGCCACTTTTACCAGTAAAAGGACCCGATGCTGCGGAGTCCAGTCTGGTTTATGACCACCCATGTGTGTCAGAGGAGAACTGAGCTCCACAGGGATTTCAGTGCTTGATTCTCTGTCCCCTCCGCCCAAGGCTGATTTTTTGGGAATAGATTCTCTAGGCCTTTCTTTTGATGCACCTCTGGGTGGACATGAACTGCCACCCTTTTGGTTGACAGTGAGGGCATTAGCCAGGAATGTCCAGCCGTGACTCTGCTGTTTCTGCTGGCTGCTAACAAGTCAATGTTGACTCATGATGACCCGTGTGTGACAAGCCCCAGGGGTTTCCTCAGCTGTAATCCTTACAGGAGCAGATGACCAGGGTCAGTTAGCAGCTGGACACCTAGCCACTGTGCCTGCCGTCATTACTGGTCCTGTATGCTTGTAGTGTGCCAGGAGGTGTGTCTCATCCCACACCAGTTCTGTGAGGCAGCCTCTACTAACATCCCCTCTTACAGATGACAAGGTGGAGATGCAGGTAAGCAGGAACGTGCCCAGGACACCTGCCCTGTGACCCGATGAACACAGGGGTCTAATTCAGATTCATCTTTTACCAAAGTTGGGTCCCACCACATGCCACACAGCCTGGTGGGAGCTCGCTGGACCTGTGGAAACCTTGTCCTCCATTTTCTGGAAAGTGTCCCATGGTTGGAGAAAGCCTAACAGGCCTCCGGCTTTCCCATGGAAGGAGGCATCATTCTGGTTTCTGGACTTCGACCTAGCCCCTTAGCTGGATGGTAGCTATTGGAATAGTTGCTCAAACGAATGTTGTTTTACTTCTTAGCCCTGAACCAATCTGCTAGCCCAAGAGTATGAGTTGATAAGGCCTTTCCTGTCCTTTCTTGGAGGCTAGGGAAAGAGTCTCAGAGGCACACAGCGAGGTCTCTGAGGCATCAGAAATACAAGCAGACTTTGGGGATTGTGTGAGTACCACAATACAGCGAAACCCACAATACAGTTACTTACAATAATCACGTTTTCACTAGCCTGTTGTCTATGAAGCGTGTACTTTGTTGTTATTGTTATTAAAGCGACCTGGTATGGGGTTTCTGAGGAGCATCTGTTGAGTTTGAACCATCGCTCTTGTACTTCAAACCGACCTTGAGGTCAAGGGTTTATCCTATGATGCCACACCAGGACAGTGTGCACCAGCATAATAAAAAAGTTTGCACTAATATGAGCATGACCAAAATGGGGATGCCGAGATGTGAACTGAGCACATGCTGTTGGAAAAATGTTGCTGTAGACTTGCTCAACGCAGCACTGCCAGAAGAGGCCCTTTGTAAAAATGCGTGATCTGTGGAGCCCACCAAAGCCAAGTGTGTTGTAACGGGTGTGCCCATCTGCTTGAACATAAAGGACACTCACCCCATCGTAGACAAGAGCTTTCCAGGAGTGTTCCAACTTCTTCATCAACCTACACGCCAACAGACAAAAGGGGGTCAATGAGAAGGGAGACTCACTTCCACCTGAGGAGTTTGAGAATCCTTCGTGGATTCAGTCAGGAGATATGGGATGATCACGTCCCCAAACATCTTACCTATACGACTGAAGGATGTCAATAATGCCCATAAATAAAAGCAGCTTTTCTCCTTTATGGCTTTTTGCTGGGATACCTCCCATTCTGTGGACAGAGCACAAGAGACACATTTTCTCATTTTCTGTTACAGGGAGGAGAAGTTGGGTGGTGCCTGGCTATGTCTGTTTTCAGTCTCCCTCAGGGAAATCTTCCTGGGAGTCCACTGTGGTCCACTCCCAACTGAGGAGGGACATGTGATGACTGTGGGCACTGAAGGGTCTGACAGAAAGAACTCAATGGCATCATTATTTTTATTGTCAAACCACAAGCAAGGTTCTGAACACACTTGACAATGTTGCTTTTGAAAAACGAAAGAGGTGTTTTTGTCTGATAACGTTGGTGTGGTTGTTAAATGCTGTCAAGTCGGCTCAGACCCATAGCAACTCTGTATAGGGTTTCCGAGGGGCATCTGGTGGGTTTGAACTGGCAACCTGGAGGTTTGCAGTTCAGTGCTGATCCTACAGTGCCACACCAGGAGTCCTTCCTGATGATGAGGAACTATGTATTCACTGTGTCCATTTCTATAAAATCTAGAAAAGCACTGAGTAAAAATATGCATAAAATTCATTTCTACAAAGGTAACTGCTATTCACGGTTGGTACACTGTCGTGTGTAGGGCGTGTGTGTGATTCACATATGCATACATTTTATTTATTGGGAGTCCTGAGGTGGTGCTGTGGGTTAATGCACTGGACTGCAAAGTTGTTTGAACTGCAAGGTCGGTGGTTCAAGCTCACCACCTGCTCCTTGGAAACCCTATCTATTCAGGGTTGCTATGGGTCGGAACCAACTCGACGGCACTTAACAACAACAACAACAACATTTTATTTAGTTTTTTTGTTGGTGCTAAGTATTGTCGAGTCGATTCTGACTCATACAGACTCTATAGTTTCTGAAGAGTGGCTTGTGGGTTTGAACCACCGACCTAGTGGTTGGCAGTCCAGTGCTTATCCTACAATGCCACACCAGGACTCCCATTTTATATGGTGGTGGTGGTAGTATGCCGTGGAGTTGGTTCCGACTCATAGTGACCCTGTACAGGGTTTCCGAGACTGTAAGTCTTTATGGGAGCAGAAAGCCTCATTCTTTCTCCCACGGAATGGCTGGTAGTTTCGAACTGTTAACCTTGAGGTTAGCAGCCCGACTCGTAACCACTACGCTACCAAAGTGCCTTTTATTTTATATGTTGTTGTTGTTAAGTGCTGTCGAGTCAATTCTGACCCATAGCGACTCTGTATAGGGTTTCCAAGGAGCAGCTGGTGGGTTTGAACTATCAACCTTGGGGTGAACAGTTCAGTGCTTAACCTACAGTGCCACACCGACTCATCATGACCCTGTATAGGGTTTCTGAGGCTGTCAATCATTACTGATGGTAAAAAGCATTTGCAGTCATTGTTAAAAACGAGCCAATTGATAGAGAACAGTTGTGTGGGTGACGAGGGTAATACCAGCTCAAGGAAGGGCCGGGGACCTGAGCTGGGGGCCTGAGCTGGGGGCCTGGTCAGGCTGGAGGCTGGTGTGACTCATTCTAGCCACAGGTAGGGATCTTGTCCCGAAGTACTGTGCCCAACTCTACAGTCAAGAGGATGGGTGAGGTGGGCAGTGGCCGCACTTACGTGTCCGGGCTCTCTGTGATGACCCCGTCCCCTGACTTCCCTGAGCCCTGGATGGACTCCATTGCTGTTGAGTACAGGACCTTCTGCATCCCTGGCCTCTTAGCATCAGGCACGTTTTGCGAGGCGTCCTCCTCTTTGTCTTTGAGGGGGTGGTCCAAGACATGGATCCCCAGCAGAAGGCTGTAGTCCATGATCTTGAAGCTTTCCAGCACCTGAATAAGAGAAAGAACCGTGCACCTGGTCAACACCGTGGTCTGCCAAGTCTCGTCCACTCGGCGTTGGAGAGCTTGGGATGGGTGGACACACGGCTCCTGCATTCCTGCCAGCTGGTCCCTGAACCAAGGCAACCAGTGCGAGCCGTGGAAAGTGTCAGGTAAAAACCCCAGGGACTGCGAAGTGGACACTGCAGTTAGAAAATGGTCCAGGAGGAGATGTTTATGCAAATCAAAACCAAGGCCACCTGCTCTCCACGGAAAACCTCTTAACACCTCTCCAGACACCAAGCAGCTCGCTAGCACACGGTGCTCAAAGTAACTCCGGAGGGAGGCCCATGTGAGCTTTATCATTTGTGGATTTCCATGTTTCCAAATTGGCCCCTCCTCACTCAGATTGATTTGTAACCCCCAAATCAATACTACTCATGCTGCTCTTGTGGTCATTTGCGAACATGCACAGAGCAGCCCAATGTGAAAACCACACACACAGCACACACACACACACACACACACACACACGTGTGTTCTGCCTGCTGCACGCGTTTTTCAGCTACAACTGCATGAGGTGACGCTCCACGTTCTTGCTTCCGCTCTCATAGCATAGCTGGACGCCCTTTCTGTGGTTGACTTTGTGGTTGTTGTTAAGTGCTGTTGAGTTGCTTCTGACTCAAAGCCACCTGCATAGGGTTTCCAAGGAGCAGCTGTAGGTTTGAACCACCAACCTTGCAGTGGACAGTCCAATGCTTATCCTACAGCACCACACCAGGACTTTGTGGTCAACTTAGTGCCACAGTTTTTGTTGGTGACATTGTTGTTTAAAAGTCCTAAAGCACTGTGTGGTGTTCTGAAGAGGACACTGTGATGTGGGTTTCAGAAGACTCTGTTGTTGTTGTTATGTGCTGTGGAGTCGGTTCCGACTCATAGTGACCCTGTACAGGGTTTCCGAGGCTGTAAATCTTTTTGGGAGCAGAAAGCCTCATCTTTCTCCCGCGGAACAGCTGGTAGTTTCGAACTGCTGACCATGAGATTAGCAGCCCGATTTGTAACCACTACGCTAGCAGAGCTCCTTACAGAAGACTCTTAGGCATGAGCAATAGCTGTCAGTTCAATGTTAATGAGTCAAAAGACCAAAAACCACACCACCACCAAGTCAATTCTGACTCACAGCAACCCTTCAGGCCAGAGCTGAGAAGTGCTCCCGAGGTTTTCTGAGCTAAAAAAGGAAACCTTTTTACCGAAGTACACGACCTCACCTTTCCTCCCTGGAGAGGCTGGGGGCCTTGAGTTAACAGTCCATCGCCTAACCTACTACACAACCAAGATCCCTTCAGACCGATTATGGTGTCTTTCAGCAGATGCATAGAGAACAAGGTTATGGACTGAACAGCTGAGGAAAATCTTGTGACCAGAGGCCTTCCCGCTCCTAACCCTGCATCTCCCCAGCGACCAGAACTATTGGACACTTCATAGATTATAGTCTGGTGTCAACCCTTTAATTTTTTTTTTTTTTTTTTTGGCTTTAACAAATAGAAAGTTAGCCTCTCACAGACTGTTGTTGTTGTTAAGTGCCGTTGAGTCGGTTCCGACCCATAGCACCCCTCTGGAGGGTTTCTAAGGAGTGACTGGTGAGCTTGAACCACCAACCTTGCAGTTCAAACGGACTGTGCAGTCTAGCGCATGAACCCACAGCGCCACACCAGGATCTCACAGATTGGGAGGCTAGAAATCTGAGTGCAGAGCACCGGTTCTGGAGGAAGGTCTGGTCTCCCTTCAGCACCTGTGGGCCCAGCATTCCTTGGAGCTCCCCACGTGTCTGGCATTGGTCTTCTCAGGATCTGGGAGTTTCACAGGGCCGGGACCCCAGGTCCAAAGGATGTTCTCCACTCCCGCTTCTCCTTTCAAGTGGCTGTAAGTCAAAACCAAATAATGTGTGTGCCTGACTTGATTGTGGTTTTCCCTTTATTGAGGTGGTCTGGAAGTGAACCTGCAGTAGCTTGGGGACTGTCAGAAAGTAGGCCAGAATAGAGTGGCTTCACCTGTGAGCCAAGAGCTGTAGCAGTGAGAACCAACTTCCCAAACAGCGAGAGCCACTAAGATTGGGGAGGCAGGAAGGGTGAGTGAGTGTCCTCGCCACTGACCCAATGCTTGGTTCTCTGTGAGATGTGTCCGTGCCTCATTCCCCCCATGAAGTGACACAGACGCACGGAGGGGACAAGACTGTGCCGTGCTAACGGTGCCATGGGAAATTGTGGAGCTAGGATGCTCTCTTCAGATAGAAGCAAATGGCAGAGGGCTTTGCGCTTCTCATCTCCACCATACTGAAATCCTGGTTTGGGAGTAGTAAGCACAGTCTTGCTGTTGCTGTGGAGAGCTGTTCAGCTGTTTCTGACTCCTAGAGACCCTGTAGGCAGAGAAGACCAGCACTATAGTGTTTTTCAGGCTGTTATCATTAAGGGGTCCTGGTGGTGTAGTGGGTTACATGTTGGACTAACTACCAGGTCAGCAGTTCGAATCTACCAGTTGCTCCATGGGAGAAAGAAGAGGTTTTTCTGCTCCTGTAAAGATTTACAACCTCAGGAACCCTACACAGTGTCACTCGGAGTCAGAACTAACCCGACAGCGCACAACCTCCAACCACCAGGCTGTTACCTTTAAGGCAACAGATCACCTGACCTTTGTTAGCTTCAGATTTTAGCTTTGTGTATTTAAGTCCTGGTGTGGCATTGTGGGTTAACAGGCTGGACTGCAAAGTCAGTTTGAATCACAAAGTCGGTGGTTTAAGCTCACCAGACGCTCCTTGGAAACCCTATACAGGGTCGCTGTGGGTCGGAACTGTCTCGATGGTATTTAACAACAACAATTTAAGATTTGCATCAATGAGGAAGAAGTAATGCGAATTCACCTACACCCAGCCTTTAAATGAACCAGAGGTCCAACACTTGTAAATACTGAGTGCCTGCCATTCTGCAGTGTGGCCCCTCACGCTGACACACACCTGTTTCCGGCATGTCTGCCTGGCCTCCCTGGTGCAGTGTGTACTTAAGCATTTGCTATTCAAAATGCAGGTGATGGTGCAAATGCAGGTGACTTTCCACCTGCTATGGGTTGGGCTCCACTTCCCCATTTGCAGAAAAAACAAACAGGAATAAGTCAAAGGAGCTATTCAAAGCCGGGAGGAGCTGGAATGGAGCAGTTTGCTTAGTCTTAACAAAGCCAGGCATGCCTCCCCTTTTTGCTGAGGATGGTTTAATGCCAACTCACACTTGTTTTCAGGGCCGACAAGGCAGTTCTGACTCACAGCAACCCTGTATCGGGTTTCCAGAGCAGCTAGTGGGTTTGAATCATCAACATTGAGGAGTCCAGTGCTTATCCTACAACGCCACACTAACCGATAGCAAAAACCTTAAAGTTAAAGTAGATGTGATCACAAAGATCTGGAACAAATGCATAGGGTGCCTCACTTAGGTTCTCCTGGGATTAACACATGTCCCCTCCCCCGGGTTCTCCTGGGACAAACGCATGTCCCCCAGGAGGTTCTCTGGTAGGAGATGCATGAGCAAGGCTCTTACTTAATAGGAACAGAACGTGGCATCCATGCTAACTCAGAAGGAAGTTATTATAAGTGGTAGCTGTCTAGTGAGGTCCTGATTTATGGAGACCCCATCCACAACAGAACAAGACGCTGCCCAGTCCTGCACTGTCCCCGACTGGTTTGGGATAGAACTGTTCTATCAGTGTGGTTTTCACTGAGTGACTCTTTGGAGGTGATCACCAGGCCTTTGTCTTAGTCGGAAGATCTGAGGAAAGATGTTCAGTGTCACAACAACACACCATTCTCCCCGATAGATGGGAGTGGGGTGGGGTGGGGTGGCTGCCCACGAAGGGCATTGGTCTGGAATTGAACCCGGGTCTCCAGCATGGAAGATGAGAACTCTACCACAGAGCCATGACTGTCCCCACGACCATAGACACTGATACCCTCTCTTCATGGTTAGAGGTGCTCAGAATGGCTGGGCCTCCTTTCCCACCTACATCTTCTGAGCCCACCGCAAACTGTCTCCAGTCAGGTTGCTAGGAGGAGCTGGTGGCTCATGGTGGCAGCGGGTAGAAGCTGCTGTGTTGATTTCGACTCATAATGACTTCATGTGACAGAGGAAACAGCCCAATCGGGTTTTCTTGGCTGTCCTCTTGACAGGGCCGAGCCATTCTCCTGAGGAGCCGCCGGGTGAGTTCAAACCCCCAACCTTTTGGTTGTCAGGTGAATGTGTTAGTGGTTTGTACCACCGAACTGGACTCCCAGTCAGAAGCAAAAGTCTTAAAACATCTGAGCGCTTGATGCTAACCCTCAGTCAGAAACACGTCTTGGGGTCTCCTCACTCCCCTGAAGGAAAGCTACTAGACTTGGACATCAGACAGAGAAATGACAGGATAAACCCAGAGACTTCTGAAAAACTGCTGTATTCCTGAAAGATGTGTAAGAACGGGAGTTCTGGGGGCACTGTGGGTTAGGCACCAGGTTGCTCTGGGCAAGGGCAGCGGTTCAAACCCACCCACTGCTCCTCAGAAGATGACCGCCTTGGAAGCCCTAGGGGGGATGGGGGGGGGGACAGCTCTATGACTCAACAAGCATCATGGCAGTGGGTGGAACGGAAGCACACACAGCACATTTGATTCTGAATGTGACCGGATCTCCAGATCCAACAACTCATTTATGGGAAATGCAGAGGAGAGGCAGGGCATGCCAGTCAACCCCGGAAGCAACCAATGGAATTCAGACTCCAGGAAGGACAACTCTGTCTCTTCAACAAAGACCCCAAATGAAAGAAAGAAGATGGGCAAAGGGGATTTCACAAGCAAACCTTATTTAAGTTCTGATTCAAACTGTAAAAACAGTCATATTTGAAACAATTAGCAACGGGAGCACCGACAACTTAATGACTATTGTTATGAAGTGCCATCGAGTCGGTTCCGACCCATAGTGACCCTGTATAGGGTTT